TTAAGGCAGGTTAGAATGGATCTAACCTGCCTGAGATCTAAGTGGATCCCTTCAAGCATCTGAAAAAGAATCCCTGAAACAAAGTATGAAAACATGTAAAATGGGATGTAGCTTTATGTAGGATATTGAATTGAAAACTGCCTAAAATAGTCGCTCAAGTGGTTTCCAGATCCTAAGCTCAATCTACTTCAGCATTACAAGCTAAATCATGTATGCAGTGAAACAGTAGCTCTTTTTTCCGAGAGGAGCCCCACACCTAAGCCTACACGCTATTCAAGGCCACCCAACAGAGAAAACTAAGGGGATTATTTCACAATCTATGACAGATGACTTTCAGATCAGTGAATAGATATGATTTATTGCTAGACTTTTTACTAATTAAAATTAACTAGAGAGGAAATGTATAACCAACAATGCCCCAGTCCTTCTATCTACCTCTATCTCACTACATAGACGTAGACAACTTTTATTGTAATTTTGTATGACCTTTTACACATTTTTTTTACAAACTTTTGTACAGCTTTTGGACAGTAAATGAAGACTTCCATTCCAGAAAGTGCAGCAGTAATCAAATGCAAACAGGGTGGGTGAAAAAAAAAGTGAAAAAAAAAAAAAAAAAAACATGGTGCAAAAATGTATTGATATGAAAGTTCAGAGCATCACCATCACTTGTGCATATATACCACCTGAACTCTTCTGTTTGAAGCAGTTGCTCAACCCCAACCTAGAGGCTACCATTGCCTAAGCTATTTTGCTCCAGTGGCTACGTACGATCAAAGCCTGAAGAATCTAACATCAACAGCTAAGAGCAAGGAGCAGACCCTGAGGTTATTAAATCTATCTCTTCTCCTCTTCCCACAGCTAAGCTTCATAATTATTTTCATGAACCCCACAAGAAACACTGGTGACAAGAAGCAGGCCAGAAAGAGACCAACCTGAAGTTAAAACAAGCACAACATGGATTAGAGTCCTTAAGATGCGCCTGTTTGACTCAATAAAATGTCTTTTGTTGGATTCTTTTATATTCATTTATATTTAGAATGTGTGCAGGATAATTTGTAATATATTCATCATGCAGTGCGAACAATAAATCTATCTATCTATCTAGAGGTATATAATCAGAAAGGATAAAATCATGCACTTAAATATTGAATAATATGGTTTTAGTAGAAATCCTTTTGTGAAATAATTTCTTTATGTTTTTGACTATGAAATGTTGTTGTTTAAACCTCCAGTTGGCCTCGGCAGAAGGCCGCTCTCACTAAGCTTGGTTCTCCTTCTGTTGGAAGATTTCTTCGCGTAACAACAGGAGTTTTTCCTCTCCACCGTCGCTGCCTTCATGTTAAGTATGATGGATTTATATATAGTCAGCGACTCAATGGAAGCATATATCTATTGTCTGTACATGCTCATCCAGGAGGAGAAAATCCTGCAAAGTCAAAGGCCGAATTCAATTAGCTGGTTTTTCTTAGACACATAACTTTTACCTGATCTGACTGTATGAACTGATTGATTTGTCTCTGTAAAGTACATTAGGATGACATGCACTGAGATTTGGCACTAAATAAAGAATTTCAGAGATTATTTCTAGACCATATCTCTGTTTTATCAAAGACTGTTGAAAACAGCAACATTCAGAGGCAATAGAGGCATTGCAGAGGCATTAGAGTCAGCTGCAGGAGCTGAAAGAGTGATGCTTAGACAGGAGTTTACCCAGCAAACTCATGATGTCTGCAAACACATGTCACACCAGCCAAATCATAAAAAATACAGAGAAACAGGAGACAGCATTGAGGTTTTAAAGTGGAACATGCTGCACGGCATATAAACTATGACAGATAGTAAAGTGGCTTTTATAGAAAACATTAAACATGCTTTCTAAAACAAAATGTACTTCTTGAATACATTTGTGATCTGTACTTTAAATGTAAGCTTTTCATCAGTATATACTGCCATCATAGAGACCTCCTTTAACCAATTAAAAGAAAGATAAAGGTGGATCTTCTATAAATCATTGTCCAGTTTTGGACTGCTGAAGTCAAACTCAGAAAGAAAATTTAAATTAAGTTCTACTAGGCTGCAGTACTTATTTGCTCATTAGGAGCTATTCAGCAGGAGAACTAGAAGAAGCTGCATATACTGCATGTATTATATATGAAAATACTCCTGGCATTAATATTTTAAATAGCTTTTGCTGAAAAAGCAGCTTCAAATCATTGGCTAAAATGATTACATATCATCTCCACCTGTCAGTAAAGAAGTGTACAGGATGTAATACTGTTTAATAAATTATTAATTGAAATATATTTATCTAGGAAGCTTGTTTTTCATATCAAGGATCTAAAATGTGTCAATATTAAGTTGATGTTATGTGAGCAATTTTCTTTTTCCAATAATCCAAGGAAAAATCCTTCAATCCCGCTCCCTGTCAGATTGTGGACCAGCTTTTTCTACGTTTCTGTGTGTATTTTCATTTCTTGTGGCTGATGAGCTACAGATCTTTAGAGGTTGTACGGCCTCCTTGGCCTGCACCCTAATCTTTAGCTCCCGCCACAGATTCTGTTTAAAACTTGAAACTCTGACCGGTATCACTTTTAAACATATTGATTTCAGGCAAAAGAAGTGCATATAATTTTTTCTTTTTATCCATTTACTTCATAGTTAATCTGTCATCTTAAATAAGCCCCATCTTCATTTCTTTATATCAAAGTTTGATCTCTTTCAGATCGGTAAGGTCAAAATTGTATAAATCTGTAACAGTAATAGCATCGATAGCTTGAAAAACAGAAAACATTTATTTGATTGATCATACAAATATAGAACTGCAGCACTCTTAGTGGAAACAGGATAAAGAAAAACACGACTCTCCTGAGCAAAAACCTTTTTTTTTTATTATTTCTTGTTGAAAGGATCTTGGTAGAATATTACAGCAGAACACACGACTGAAACAGCTGCCATTTCACGTAACACAGTACAAGAAGAAGGATGTAGTTCAAATCGCATGTGTCATCTTATATATAGTATATTTATATCAATAGAAAAGGAAAGAAAATCTATTGCTCCCATGTGTGTTTTTTTTTTTAATATGGCATTTCTCTGCTGCTTTGGAGTGGGTAAACGTAAGATTCAACAAGACATTTGCACACCAAAAGGAAGTGGGACAATGAGAGTGAGGTTTCCCAAAAACACAGGAACATTGTGGCCTTTATAAAAACCTTACTAGGCTGAAAAGTAAACTTGTTTTCTATTGCAGTACAGAAATAAAACTTGCAATTGCTCTATTAAAAAAAAAAGGATAAATACCATAACAGAGCAATCTGAGAATGCAAAAAAAAAAAAAGAACACAAGGCTTCTCTGCATCAAAAGGGCGGCCAGCAAAAAAAAAAAAAAAAAAAAAAGTAAAAATCTGTAAGAGGAGCACTAAAGATGTAACGCTGATGGTTGCAGGTGTGTACGTTTGCGTCGTATGGCAACTGATGGAAAGCCAATTCATGAGGAAACGCTGCAAAAAAGCTGTGGACTGAAAAGAGGGAACACGTCGAAGCTCTGTAAAGTGAACTGGAGTGCTGAGTGTTTGCCCGACACACGACTTCAAAGAAGCCGTCTCTAGAAATTGCTATAACATAAGGCGTAGCCAATCTGTTGTTCTCCTTTTAAATTTTCCTCTAAGGAATAATAGATATATTAGGAAAAAAAGCAGGTATGAAATATAATCCCTGGACAGTTGCATCCAAGTTTAGTGTTTTAAATAAGCCACTTTAGGCAGCATTATCTAATAAATCTTATTATATTTGAATATATCTCTTTAAAAATAACTATCTATATTTGATTTTTTTTTTTTTAGTAAGTAAATCTCTTTCAATATTTATATATCTTTTGAGATACAATTCCCCATTTTGGGGTTTCTTTTTCAAAAGCACCTAATTTACTCTGTTACAATCAGACTGAATGTTCCTTCAGTCATAAATGGTCTGAGTTCAAGATTCAAGGATCCAAATGATGCACCCTTAATCAACAAGGTTGACCCTTGAGATAGATAATAAGAGCTCAAGCCTGGCAATATTAAACTGTAGCTTGGACAAAGAAAAAAAAAAGTGACCACTGCTGGAGGCATCAGCTCGCTGCCTCCCCTTCCGTGAGAAGGCCACACGGGTCAAACGTGGCCCCGTATCACAGGAGACGTCATCAGTTGCCACGGATGACTCGGCTGCAGCAACATCGGAATAGGATGATGCACAGGCACAGGGAATGCTGAACCCTCCCCCCCAAAAAACAAAAACAAAAGTGGGATTGTTTTTTCTCTATTTCAGCCCTGAGACACAACAAGCCACATTTGAGCAGGCCTCACCTCAGCTTAGCGTGAGGTCAGCACCTGGAGTTTGGGTGGGGGGGAGGCGCGGCTAGTAGGTGGGTCAGGTTCTTAGGTGTGAAGAACCAGGCGGGAGGGTTTTTTTTTGGACCCCTTTGGCAAATCCAAGCGGGTCGTGTGCTTGCAACAGGTAACCTTGCGGTCCCCACGCTGGGCCGGGCGATTTATAACCCCCCCACCCCAACACACACACACTGAGTTGACACTGTGGCTCAGTCTGGAGAAGCAGTTTGGTACTGATCACTTTTTTTTTTTTTTTTTTTAAACACAAACAGCCATGGTGAGCGATGCAAGCGCACTCTCACAGCCGCTCTGCACCTGCTGGTTGGAGTATGTCACATTTTACTCTTCATCATCATCATCAATACAGACTACAGGTCAGCACTGAGTGAGCTCTCACCATTGGATATCAGGCAGGAGGAGTTCAGGTAACCAACTGTTGTGTCTCTGTCAAACTTAACTCGCTGGGCTACATGTGAGGTTATCAATCAGACAATCAATATATAGATAGATATATATTAAATAGAGTATAGTTTATCAAAGGGGAATCTCATACAGAGGCTGACTACTGCAGTCTGCACTCAGTTAGCTATAACATCCATCTAAACTTTAGAAAATGTTTCTCTTACATAGACAATTTCTCAGTCAAATATACTTTTTTTTTTTATCTTACTCTGTTTTAGCTTTTTATAGTTCGATTCGTCATGCACAAAATAGTCGTTCCTCTGTTGTATCTCCAGGCTTTGCATCATTTTGTTAACTTAAACCACCCCAAACCAAACAAACACCTCTCCCTGTGGGTCAATCGTCGTCCACGTCGTCCCCCTCGGACTCCTCTCCGGTTCTCCGCTCGTACATCTTGTCCCGGTGCCGATCCTGGATCTCCTTCATCTCCTCGGCGTAGCGGCTAAACGCTCCCCCGAACTTGCTCCACGCCTTGAAGGGGATAGTTATAGAGTTCCTGTAGCTGGGCTTAACCTCGCTCACCCGTAAGAAGACGCCGTACTTGTTGGACCCGACGTCGAAGAAGAAGCGTTTGGAGTCCACCATGATCGACGTGCCCTCCGGAAGTTCGGTGTAGCCCCCGGCTCCTCCGCCACCGCCCAGCTCATCGTCGTCTCCCCCGTAGTCGTCTATCAGCTTAGCCAAAGCGTCGCGGAACTCTATTAACCCTTGAGCGGGGAGGGCGATGGTTTGGCCGGATTGCATGCCGGCTCCGGGAATGCCCCCCACTCCGAATCCGGGGCCTCTGTTGACGGTCTGTCGAATCCGGAGGAACCGACCCCGTTGGTTCTCCTTAAGGTCGAGGTAGTATTTTCGGTTCTCACGCACCAGAAACTCGCTCTTCAAGGCCCGTCTAGGCCCGCTGTCATCACCGCTGGACGACTGAGCAATCTGCTCCGGGGTGCTAGGCCCGAGTTGGGCGTAGTGCTCTATAAAATCACCAAGATAGTCGCGGAACTCAGCTGCAACTGACATGGAGAGGGTCAAACGACTTTTAGAGCCCCCGGCGCCGACCTCTGCGATTTTGATGAACCGGCCTTTGGCGTTCTGTTTCACGTCAAGGTAAAAGCGTTTGTTCTGAATGTCCAGTCGTTTCGAAGCCAGCTCCTGGGTCTCTGGTTCGCGCTGGTAATGCTGAAATCCACCGCTTCCTCCCCCGCCGCCGCCGCCGCTGCTGCCACCGCGCTCACTGCCGCTATCCCCATCCGCCATCTTCGCCACCAGCAGCCCGTTTCTCTGCGTATGCCTGACCCCCCAAACCCTCCCCCTTCTCTCTCCTCCGACAGCCCAGTCGAGATAGCGGAGAATACTGGACACTGCTTCCTCGGCACTGATTGGCTACTTCGGTTGCCAATGAACAATGTCCTGCGTTTTCATTTGGTTTTTAATCTGTCAATCACTTGGAGTCCTGCCTTCCTTATGACGTTGGTTTGGATCTGCAGTGTATTTACGAATCAGAACAGCTATCCCGACACTTCGTTGCTCCATGATAACCATACGTCAGCGCGCCCGCCATATTGGGACTGACATTTTCTCGTTAGAAATATTCTTATAAATATTCCGAGTACAAAAAAGCCCATTAAATGTCAATATTATTATTTTTTGAGCAGTTAATAAAACACAATGATATTATATTGTTTATCTTAATAGCTGTCATCAACAAATAAAAATAAACGGCGCACAAACTATAAAAACTTAATTACAAAATTTGGTGTTAAAATACATAAACCCCTCAAACATGTGTATCTTATTTTTTTCATGAAATTCGTTATATAAAAGAGGTCCTAGTAGCTTTGAATGACACACTTTTAGTTTTGAAATGAAGAGATGGAAAGGCATTTTTGAGTTGCATATCTGCTTTTAAAAATAATAGTAGGTCAAAAGAGTACACAAAAACTCAACTGAAATAAAATCACAAATTAATCCTATTTTTAATCAAGTTAAAATAAAACTTAACAAACAAACAAACAAATACTTTAGCTAGAGTTAAATGGTATTTGGTAAATATCTATTCTGAGTAACTAATCATAACATCTGATTTAATATTTTACAAGTATATATCTGACCGACAAATATAGAAGGGTATGTAGTTAGTAATGATAGCAGAGATAGCAAGAGAATTATAGAAATATACAACATTAATGCATAAATAAATCTGCCATCTTTTTTCCAGATCAGATTTTTTTTTGTAATATACACCATATTTAATTTACTGTGTAACATGTTATACTGACACTTTAAATGTGTGTTTATTTGCATTTTTGTTCAAAAGAATGTTGTTCTTCACTCAGTTACTATCACATTACATATTAAATGCGTATTAAATAAATATATAAACATTCAATAACTTATCTATTGGTCATTATACTGATGGGGCAGAAATTTTCTCAAAACGATCTCATTGGAATATTAGTGCATAATGACGCTGTAAATACAGTATTTCACAGTTTATCTCAAATATATGACTGTATCATACATTTTTGGGATTAATATGACTGGAAGGACACCCCGCACAAACAGAGCCCCGCCTACTTGTTGGTTTCGTGCGCAAAGACAGAACAGGAGAGCTACTCGAGTGGGGGATGGGTGGGTTCTCTGCACGTCGCGCGGTGATTGGTTAAACGGCAGATTCGAAGTAATAACGGACTGTCTGATAGGTTGGCCGGTCTCCCACGAGGGGTCGCGAGCAAAAGATTTGCAAAAGGGTTTATTGTTTCTTTGCTTTCGGGAGCTGAAATTGTTTCCTACCCTCAGTTCTTCAATCTAATTTCCAGACGAAAACAATGGTACGTAAACTCTGATTAAAGTCGAACGCATAGCCGAGGCGTTCAAGTGTTTTTAGAGTATAAAACATGCTGTGCCGTTTTGAAATACAGCTGGGAAATTGTGACTGGAGTGATTTGAAAGCTTCGGTAAAGGACTGTCAGCTAGCGAGTTAGCATGCTTGCTCTCTTAGCGGTTTCTTGACGAGTGTTGAGCCTTAAAGCCAGCTGATGGTTGCACTACTTGTTATTCGTGATATGCTCTATTTTTATAACTCGCACCTTGTTTCACCATGAATCTTCTTTCTACAGTTTGTAGCTTTACTAGTATAAAAAAAAGCTCCACCAGCAGGCTAACTTGACATGTTTTGTGTGCTCTGTTGATGGTTAGTAAGTGGTGTAGAAGAAGTTATTTAAATGACTATCTCAACGGAAATGGAGCATGAATGGGAACTTTTCCTTTTGCTGTCGTTGAATGAAAACTTGACCGCTCTCGGTCTCCAGTAGGCGCGTCTGTTTTGATTGACGCGGGGACCTGAGCGTCAACCCGCTGACAGTTTATACGTTTATATTGGACCTTATTGGCTTCTATATATATTGATTTTCCTAAGCTTTTATTGTGTGGTTCGGTTTGCGGTTTAGGCTGACATGTGTGACTCCCTTCCTTGGTTTGTTTAATTTAAGATTGGCGGGAAAGCTAAACTGTTTAACCGACGGTCGGTAACGTACGGCACCGAAGTTCGTTTCCGAATCGGAGCTAAAGTAAAGGGCTATTTCACATTATTTTTAAACTGGTATCTCCTACCTTAGGTTGAAAATATAGAGGACGGTGAGACTTGGATTAAACTATTTTGCTCAAAAAGATTGTGTAACTTTTTTTTTTAGTATTGAAATCTGATTATAAGTTGGTGCAAAAATAAAATATAACGATGCTATTTTGGTTGAGTTCGTGTATTATTACTTTTAGGGATGACCATATTGACTTGCAGTAATACATTTCAGATTTAATCATTCTGAGCATAATTGTCTTCAACATAATAACTTGGGTTTAGGAAGCATAATGGTGTGTTTACAAATCACAAACTGTCTTTAATCAGCTGGGAAGTGCTGCAGAATAAATAGGTCTACATTTAATTGTTGTGAAAAGGGAAAGAGGGAATTAAAGTTTTCTAAATAAATAAAAAATGTGTTTTAATATATATTTCCTAGGTCTACAATAGTGTAGGTCAGGTTTATATAGTTTAACTGGTTTAAGGATGATCCAGATTTTGTTAAAGATGTGAAATCGCCCTTTATCTAATTCTGAGCTTATAATTAAAATATAAACCTCCATCTGTTAGAGGCCTGAACAGCTTATTTATAGGAATCTCCTGCTTCTTATAAAATCATCAGTATTGTTTATAATAACTGCATTTGAAACATTTTTTTAACTTGAGTTTCATCTCATTTTATGCACACAACCAGTTTTATCTTCTACCTAATTCTGCTAGTTTATTGTTAATGGTTTGCTCACTTTATTACTTTATTTTCTATGCAGGCCGGTGGTAAGGCAGGAAAAGACAGCGGGAAAGCCAAGGCGAAGGCAGTGTCGCGCTCCCAGAGGGCTGGGCTGCAGGTATATCTCCATTCACTTCAGTTTGACAGTTTGTGGTGTTTGCTGCAGGTGTTAAACGAGCTTGAACTGAAAGATTTAGTTGCTTTGGTTTATTCAAACCGCTGCCTTGTATCTGTTTCCTGACAGTTCCCAGTGGGTCGTATCCACAGACACTTGAAGACTCGCACAACCAGCCATGGTCGTGTTGGAGCCACAGCAGCTGTTTACAGTGCTGCCATCCTCGAGTACCTCACTGCTGAAGTAAGTCCTTCCTTTTGTAGGCATGTTTCTGCTTTGTTTTTGTTCCAATGTTGTTGTGTTTTTTAAAACAGCTTATTATCTGATTAGGTACTAGAGTTGGCAGGAAACGCCTCCAAAGACTTGAAAGTGAAGCGTATAACTCCCCGTCACTTGCAGCTGGCAATCCGTGGTGATGAGGAGTTGGATTCTCTTATCAAAGCAACAATTGCTGGTGGAGGTAAGCAACGTTGTATACAAGCCATATTCAACATGCATTTTTATACTAGGTTTCGTGTCTGTGCAGTCATGTCACATGACTTTGGTCATATTTGGGTGATTTGTTTATTTTTAGGTGTCATCCCCCACATCCACAAATCCCTTATTGGGAAGAAGGGCCAGCAGAAGACTGCATAGACGCCACGTTGACCGGATATTTGGGGGCTTGGGCTTTGTTTGGACCAGGAGTTCATGTTTTGTTCTTTTCTATTATTAATATTATAGCAAACGAAGAGTGATTGTTAGACTTTGTGTTGGTATATTTCTCCCGTAAATAGATAAGTACAGAAAATCCCTTAACAGCAGTAAACCCTTTTTTTTTATGTCATTGTAGACTGTTTGACTGGAGAGTTCATGATTATTGAAATGGACAGTGAATTTGTTCGATTGGCTTGGAAATATGTGATGTTTTATACTGAAATTGTTTAAAAAAAGTCTTTTGTATAAAAAAAAAACTTGTTTTGTGGTTATTTTTTTCTTAAAGTTACAATATTTCCTAACCTGTTTTTTAAAGACTCTGAGTTTTGGAGGTTTAATTGGGCCACAGCAGGTAAATGTGACCTTTTTCTTCCCTTTTCAATTAATGTAATATTTTTTGAACTGCACAGAGATACTGGTTTTGAAAGTTTTTTTTGCATCAAAATATCAAACATGTACTGTACCAGTCTATACAGTGTTTTTTTTTTTCCTTTTTTTCTCTCTCTTTGTAAATGTTTACAGTGTTCTAAAGCTTGTTAAACTTGAAAATACGTATTGACAGATGTGATCACGAACAGTGTTTTGTTTTTTTTGTTTTTTTCTTTCTCGCTCTGGAACAAAAAGGTTTTGTTTTTTCTTTACTGCTGATGTCTGACGGTGATGCTGACAGCCGAGATATTGGTGAGAATTTTAACCAAGATTAATTGCATTTTTTTTATGTATTGGCAGACCGAACTGTCCTCATATGTCCATTTCATTTTTTTTTTTTAACAAGTTGAAGCGTTTTCTAATAGTTGCGTGTTCAGGACAATGACTGCATATTTTATCTTTTAATAAATATCCTTGACATGTACACTGCCTTGTTTGAAACCTGTACCTTGATGGTTTAACTATTTTTCAGCAGGTGGTCAAAGCTAAAGCACGGTTCACCAACACAATATGTAAGCTCAACTGTTTGCACATTTCCTTTACATCCTATGGATATGTAATCCACTAAAAGTAGAAAAAAATAAGACAATTTTCTGGTGCTTGGTTGAAGCCTTTCCAGTAGAATTGCCACTTAACACCAGCAGGGGGAGCTGCAAGTTCATTTAAGTAATACAAAATGCCAAACATTCCTTTTGCAAAGCACCTAATTCTCTGCATTTCAGAATGACTTCAAGGTGGATGGATTGTTGTAATAAGATGCAATGAAAATATGTAGGTTTTAAAAGCTCAGTGGTTTAAAAGAAATGCACAGGGGGTAAAAGTATCAGTATATGGCATGCACAGTATAGCATACATTGGAATAAATTACAACCACTTCATATTTTAAGGTTATACACCTCAGAATATGACAATCTGGTCTTTCATTTGAAAAATTATTTAAATCTCAGCTTAAATGAACCAAAAATAAGCAGCGTGAAAGCTGCGTGTTTATATCAAGGAACACATTTTTTGTTGCTGTTGGGATTTTAAAACAAAATGACGGCTTATCAAGTTCACTTGGTTCATCACCATCAGGAAGAGAGCCTCCCTCTCTTATCAGTTAAATGTTTTTTTTTTTTTTAAGAAAAAGACACAGGGTTTCTGCCTGCTTTATTATCAGCACACACAGATCTGCAAAACAAAGGAATAATAGACAACTGATTTGAAACTTAAGGACTTAAGAAAAGCTTCACACTGACTGCAGTCGTTCCTGCAGATTTTCTATTGAAGTTGTGGCTTCACCACCTTAATAAAGGTAGTTCCCCATTTGTTTTCCCTTCCTGTGTCACCTGCTGGTTCTCTGCTGGTGGAGCTGCTTGTGTTTCCTTGAAGGAGCAATGTTGCAGCAATAAAGAAAGTCATGTTACATTTAGCATTTTATAAGCTTTAATTTCAGTCACTTAAAACAAGGAACCCTGCATTAAAAGCCTGTCTTGCTTTGTTAACAGTAAGAATGCTATAATGATTATAACATGATGCATCTGCTGAAACCAGCGATATGGCTCAGACAAAAGCAGATTTCAGAGTATCTGCAATACACTCCAATAAAACAGCTCAGGCCCTGAGGGCAATTAGTTTAACTCTTAAAATAGCTTTAAGAGGCACAGTGTACAATAAAAGATTTAACTCTAACAGGCTTCTTAGTAAATTCCCATTTGTAGTCCCTGTCATACAAGGACAAGTAAAATAAATAAGATCTTTGTACAGAAACTATGGTAGAACTTATTTTAAGATTATGTTTATAAGATACCAACCAAATCCAAATGTCACAACACATCAGTTTAATATTAATATAATGCATAATCATCTATTTAGGTAAACAAACATTTTTGACAGATTAAATGGTTGAAATTTTCCCTTAAGTCTGTCTCTCTTTTGTTTGCATAATAAAGTAGTAATCTGATCAAAATCAGAGCAGGCATGAGGATGTAGATGTTTCATTTCCAAAAGTGACTTTTGTTGTGCAAGATAAGTATTTTGAAGATGTTTAGCAGATAGATTTAATTTTTTGGTGCATTTATTTTTAGTCACTTTGTTATTCATTAGACTACAATTATTGTAATTGATCAACCTATTGACTTGTCTCAATGTTAATGAACAGCATAGTCTAGTTACCAAAAGCAATGGCAATATTTATTGCATAATACTTCTAAATTGTCAGAACAGTGTGAAATGGTCTGCAGACTTTTAGACCTATGTAAACAGGCTCTGCCATGAACTCTGATGTGTTAGCATTGCTGAGTGTTCATCTGAGCAAGGCGGGGGAATGTTGCGCTCTTGATTACTTGTTCACGTAAAATATTTGCCTTTTTTTTGGTCCATTTTGGCAAAAAGAAAAAAAACTAATAATTCTAGATTTCTTCTGGTGTTTTTTTTTTATTTTTTTAAAAACCTTTATTTTACCAGGAAGTCCTTTGAGATAAAATCTCTTTTTCAAGGGAGACCTGGCCAAGAGGCAGCAGTACAATAAGACATGGTGTAGAGAAGCTGACATTGTCTCTGGGATCAGTTTATATAAACAAATTTGAATGTTAGTGGACCTGAACTGTGTGCATTGATATACATTCATGAATCATTTCCTGAAACATTTTACTTACATACTCGAAAGACTAAATTGCATGCATACTGTTCCAAACCACAACCAGCCATTATTACAAGAAAAACCAAAACAAAACTTTTACGGTTACTTTATTTTGCAGCATAACATGATCCGTAAGGATGGACGCGGGTCAAAAATAAAGAGACAAACCATCCCTTTTTGATCTGTTCCTCAATCAATATTATAGTTACTGATTATTTCGCTGTTTGTGTGCCAAACCTCCCAGGAATGCTCCTGCTTTACATTTTTTCAGAATAAACAGCCGAAACATTCATCTTTTCCAGTTCGAGTCTGAAAAGGCTCCCCATCCTGCTGTGAACTGAGGCAGAAAACAGCGGGAGGAAAAACAGGTAATGCTGTAGGAAAATGTTAGGGAAGCAAACATTTCAGAAAATAAAAGAAGAACTTTAGGGATTTCAAAAATAACAACACTAACGAAAGAAAAAGACATTCCTAGAATATATTTCAAAGGCATTCCATGGGTTTTTAGACATGTCTGCACTTCTTTAAAAGCAATTTCTAATTTCTTTTTTTTTTTTTTTCATATGTTTGATTTGGGTATTTTGGTAACAAATAAATGTAAACTTAAGAATGACCAATTAATGCCTCTAATTAGAGAAACTAATCAAATAAAAGTGCAACATAGCTGGTAGAACAATCTATAGAAATAAATAAATGATTTAAAACTACATGGATGGATTGAAGATCTGCTGTTTGGCAATAATCAGTTCTTTGTGGAACTGGGAATGTGTATTCTTCTGATAAATTTTTCTGTTTCCCTCCATTTTGTTTTGTTTTTTTCTTCTGTTTTTTCAGATATTTTTCAACACCACATTTCATTTCCATAATATCGTCCACTTTTTTTTTTTCTCTCTCAAGTGACTTCTACATTTCCCTTCCCTAAACTTCTCTAAACTCACTTCCAACATCAAACTGGGAAGTCAAGTTATTTTTACCTATGTATTTCTGAGGATTCAGCTCTCAAATTATTAAAGTAAAATCAATTTAACTTTAATTTTTACATCATTTCAGTGGTACAGTTTAAAATAGATTATGGTTAAAATTAAGTATTATTTCCTTCCCTTTTCTCCACATTCTTTATGCGGCTCTAGGTTTACTTTGTGTCAAACACTGAAATAATTGAGTTTAAAAAATCTGCATCCGTTTTTGAGCAAACTGAAGGGTAAGCTGCACAGGTAAAGAATCGTAGACAGAGGTTAGAGCAGCACACAGGTCAGGATGTCAGCACAGGAGAACTGGACCATGAACCAGTAGAAGAAGGACGTTTTCTCTCCATTAATCCGGAAAGACCAGGTGGATGAATTATGGGCAGGAAGTCGTCCTGGACCATCCACCCTGTCATGGATACAATATCTGTTGATCTTTTTGTGGCGTTTTTCAGCAGGAAAACACACCGTGTCTGAAAGCCAGACTACTTCTCGACATGTTTATTTCGAGGTGTTTACTTAATCTCCAGATTTCATGGATCTTAATATAATTGTAGTTTTTAAAGGTTCAACCATACATCCACTGCAATCAGCTTAAAGGGTCTGCTGCTATTGCTGCCAGAAACCCAATTGAATTACACCAGAAGGAGACCAACACACTATTAAGGTGTTGGTCATAATAATTTGCCTGACAAGTGCCTGCTTTTGTGAATTATTACCAACGCTGCCTTTATGAACTAACTTATGTGATATAATGGTTTTAAAATAGCTGTTTTTGAAAACAAAGCAGGAGGAAAGTGTGTTGCTGAATGTTTGTCTATAAAAACATTAGACTCTGGTTCATTTTTGTGTTTGTAAAGAAAGCAACAACAAAAAAAACACCTACAGATGTGTCATTTTGTCGATTAATTAATTTCCAATACGCTGTGCTTCTCTAGTTATTTCCTTTGCATTTATTTTGCCTGAGGAGTCATAAAAGCTGTCTGTCACCAGTTGCAAATGATGTGCAGAGATGAGCGATGCGTCGTAGGGGAAACGATCGCTCTGAGAATGTCAGAAACAAGGGAGAAAAGCTTGTTCCTTACCAACCAAGTTCTGTTTACTCCTTTCTGGCTCCGAAGTCTAATGGCTCTGAGGCCCTGATGATTAGATCGGTGGTAACTCACAGCTGACTGACAGGGGAGAAATCATGGCAGCACCAACAAATCTGACCTTTGCAGAAACTTCTCCGACATCCAGAGACCTCTGATCTGAATCACTGATCTGATGTGTGCT